CTGGAGGTTGTCCACCCAGCCAGAGACTAACAGGCTTAGCATGGGAGATCTGACACCACCACAGCAAATGCTAAACTACGCCTTTATTATGATAACACTGGATGAATGTTAATTATTAGCTGAACACTGTATGTTCTAGAGGCTGTTTGCATTACAGCATGGGAAGGGCCAATTGCATGTAAAATGTGTGTGTTTCTAGGCAGAACAGCAAAGAAAACCACTTTGAAAGAGAATAGGTTGTTTTTGGTTTTTTTTGTTTCTCTTCACTACATATGTAGTTTTTATTAACGTCATGCAGACATAATGAAGGATTTTCATGAACTTATTTAGGAGACTACATATTTATACATGATTTTATTAAGACAGGGTGGATTAACACAGTGATAATGTGCAGCAGGTATGTAGGAAGTGCTGCCTAGATCAGATAGACTTCTTGTTAATAGTTGTTTGGACTTCAGAATTAGGTCTTTCCTTGTGAAGAATCGCTGTTGAATCAGTGGCATAGAACAGAATCGTTTGCTAGACATGAAAAGTATTTGTTGTGATTTTAGGAATGATGGTCTGAAGATATTTCCTTTTGCCAGGTTACAAAATAAAATTAAGTTACAGTCCTGTAAGGTTATTTAAAATAAATAAAAAAAAAAAGAATATTGATATAGGACCCTGTACTGTGCTTTCAACTACTAAGCAGCACAAATGCCTTACCATTCTTCAGAGTCATGAAATCATTCTCTGAGCAGTGCACATGTGTATTTCTACTTATTTTCTGTTAGTTACTTCACAGGGATATCTATTTTTAAACAAGCTGGCAAATCTTTCATTGTGATAACTGTAACTATGTACTTTATTTATTTACAATCTCACTTTTAGTTGATCCACCTGGAAATAGGATAACATAATTTTTCTCCCTGGTTAGATGGTGGACAATATAGGAAGGGAAAGGGATTCTGGGCTTGCTAACACTGACTAGGCATTAGCTGACTCCTGGATTATTCTGCCTTAGGTTTTCATACCTGTGATATGTGCACCTTTGCACAATTCAATTATTTGAACATTCTAAGTTAAACAACAGGTTAAAAACCCCCAGTCAGATAAAGCGTGGAAATGAAGTAAAATGAGAACCTATTACTTTGTAGTGCAATACTCTATGAACAGTCCTCACAGAAGACATGTGGTGTGTGTGGTGCAACATCTGATTTATATAATTTTGAGGTCACCTCCTTATTTGGCCTCAGAATTAAATGATTTGATCAAGGCAGGCAGCCTCCCCTTTCACAGGAATGCAGGTTACTTTCCATAGCTGTTCCAGTTGGGTATGTTTGGTATTTGTGTCAGCCTTCGACAAAGATCGTCTAGTGATGTTAAGAATGATGCAAGAAAATATTGGCACTGGAAAAATGGTAGAGAAATCAGTTGCTAGAATAAAAGTATCCAAAAATTGCTGTATTCTAGGGCTAAATCTTGCTTTTTGACTGTGCATACAGGGACTTCCTAAAAGTCATAGCTGGGAGGGAAAATGCAAGTCACTTGTGATCAGAAAACACCATCTCCTTCCCATATAGGGAGAGTTGGCTTTCACCAAGACTTTCCCATCCTAAGCTGGTGAGGCAAGAAGGTGCTTGTTGGCAGGATGGACCAGCCTTACCCCTGTATTATGCTCATTTCTAGCTTGAATAAAGGCATATGTGCTCAAAACATGAGTGTAAACTAGTGTTCAGTACTGCTGTGGTAGTATGTACATGGTTTATTGGTGGACTCGGCAGTGTTAGGTTAACAACTGGACTCAATGATCTTAAAGATACTTTCTAACCTAAATAATTCTACGATTCTACATAAATGACTATCCAAGTGGATTTGGTTTCTGTCTGTCATGGTATTAGACCAGCTATTATTACAAGGATCTCCAGGCCATGGGAAGAAGGATATGCCATGATTTTGGTCCCCACATTGTTTATATGGTCTGATCCAAGTCACCAACACCAATTTACTCCAGTGGTCTCTGACTACCACCAGAATTTCCAGGCATCCTAGAAGGAAATGGTTTGATGTACTTACAAAGAAATTATTTCACTTCTCTGAAAGTGTGGTATGTGTCTCTCTGTATCTGAACCTGAATCCTGGTTGCTCTGTCAAGTTCATGTTGAAGTATTTGCCTACTGTCTGTACACAAATGTCTGAGAATTTTGATGAAGGGCAAAAGAGATGTAGCTGTGTTGTAAGAGAATGAAAAATAGAAACGGGATAAGGCTGTAAAATAAACATTGAATTTGTAAGCTTGTAATCTATTGAACTCATCCAGAGCACAGTACGATACCAACCCCCTTATTCAAGGCAGTTAATGGTACCACAGCACTGTTCATGATCCATCAGATCTGCCAGAGAGAGAGGCTGTTTTAAAATTTCCCATACAGGGCACAGGGAAGAACTGTTCTTACAAAGATAGAAATTTATGATGATGCTAAAAAAAATGCAGATGAAGTGAATAATTAATGAATTCAAGACAGGACTTGAATATCTTCCGAAAATGTTGCTATTTTTAGCAGTGAGTGCTTCTGCAGTGCTTGTCATGTGGCCCTGTTGCCTTCTGAGAGCAGGAGAACAATTTGAATTAGTTTCTCTTTCCCCATGGACCTATAGGCCAAGCATGTAATACGCCTTAGCGTCTGCTTCTGCCTTAGTGCAAACAAAGTGATTTTAAACCTCATGCAAAATAAAACAGTAACGAAAGCTGTACTTAAAGAAAGTCTTTATAGCAGCTAAACAGTTTTTATAGTAGTTTGTACACTGAGGCTGTGCAGGGGGCTACTGCAGTGTGTGTAACTTTCAGCTGCTGCAGAGATCCAGGAATACACATTACTGCTGCAGTTTCTCACTGTTGAAGGACATAGAGGCAATTATCAATACGAGGTTACAGGATCTGGCCCATAGAGAGGGTTTTAATGTAAACAGAATTGTGCTTCTTTTTCCTATAACTAGTATGGAGTGTTGCTGTGTTTGAGTTACTTTGCATGTTAAAAATGTTATAGTCAAAAACACCTCTAAAGGCAACGGTTACATACAGCTGGCTGGAGCACGTGCTCATATTTCCACATATGCTGCTCAGCTGCACCCACAGGGAGGGAAATCTCCTGGTCAGACTATAGGAGAGGGCACAAAGGATAGGACTGCCATTGTCTCCACCAGGCTCCTTCTGTGACTGTTCAAGCTGTTGCTACCCGGGTCCACACAGGGACATGGTTGCTGCCATAGTGAATACTCAAGTGTTCAATTTCTGAAACCTGGTCCTGTCACGGATTTCTCCTTCCTGAAGGGTCATGAGGTTTCCAAAGCCCAACAAAGGGGAAGTCAGGAGCTCTGTGCTTGCCACCTTTCTTGCCTGCTGGAGTTGCCAGAGGCTGAATTTAGAAGTCTCCAAATCCCACACCTTGAGGCACTGAGGAGGACCCTGGCCTTGCAGTTCTTAGGGTTGCAGAGGGGTGCTGGCTTGCTCTCTCCACTCGTGCAAGGATTGCCCTCCCCATGTGGTGGTTCCTGGGTGACTCCTGTAAGGTGCATAGGGCTCATTGGACCTGGCTGGGATGCTGGTCCCCAACCCTGGTGGGCTGCAGAGCTTTGCACCTGGAGTGGCATGCTTGCCATGCAGAGCAGCAGTGAAACATAAAAGCTGAAGCATGCTGCTTAGGGAAAGGGTTGTGACATGAGTCCCTGTTAGCAGAAGTGGCCCCAAAGGCACCTGCAGCCCGAGGGCAAGCTGCAAACTTCTTCAGTGATAGTGGGTTTTGGGAAGCTCCTGGGTTAAGTCATTGATGGTGGTTTCTTGGGCACATTGGAGCTTGAGCTGCAGCTCCTTGGTTGTGTTCAGGCACACATTTACAGCTTAGGTGCTGTAAATGCTTTGCTGCATCTGGGCCTTGGTCTCCATTTTCCCTTCTCTATGTATCTATCTAAAAGGACTGGTTTAAGATCTGATGTCTGTAAAACATAGAGCTTTGTAATAGTTAGAAATTGATCCTCAGCTGGAAGCCAAGTTTGGTTGATGTGAGTGCTATTCAAGTGAGAACGCTTGTTATGCAAAAAATGTAATAATTTTTTTTTTTCCCCAACTGAAAAGTCTATTTCCAAACTAATATTCCCACACTTTCCATCAGCTCTTCCATGCTAGAACTCACCACCTTTATCCAGTCTTCTTGCTCAGTCAGTTGTGCGAGTCCTTCCTAAATTGAATCCAGTTATCAGGTGGCTTCATCTTAAGGAAAAACCATCTATTTAGACCAAAGGATGTAGCCAGGTACACACAGACTGAATAAGTGGAAAGCCATGGGAGTCTGCGGCAAGGGGATGTGGTGAATGGTTGATGCCTTCACGGGGTCCTGTCAGTAGGACAGGGCACGAGGACAGCCTTAGTAAAGCAAGCCTGGAGGAGTCTCCTCACCTAACTTCATCACAGCACGTGGGATTTGCACTCCTGTTTGAATCTGTCTCGGGTTGTGGTTCTGTGATAGAAATAATAAACCAAACTAAAGTTAGCAAATCGTATCTTTTAAAATTAATTAAATGCATTGAGTTCTCCGTGCAATGAAAGGACATAGAGATTTGAAGGCCCTAAATTGTGTTACAGTGCTGCAAACCAGTTCTTATTTTCTTTATGTCTGTTTGTTTGGATGATTGCACTGATAACTGAAGCAATTAGTTATAGAAGTCCATCAATATCCAGGTGCTTGGGAATGATCAGAAACTAAAATATCTGGGTTTGGTTTTGTTGTTGCTGTTTTGATTTGGGCAGTGGGGCTTTTGGAGAATCATTTTTGCTTCGCATAGTTATCCACCCCTGTGACTGTTTTATGAAATACCCAGCAATACAGCTTTACTTAGCTAAAATTATTGAAATAGTTCATTCTGTAAATTGAGCAGGGAGGTACTGTGAAAATACTAGTTCTTTTAAAAACAGCTTGGCTTTGTGGCTATCTATCTCCTTACTACTTATTCTTTTCTTTCCATAGGAAAAATTAACCCAGGAGTGTGTATTCAGAGAGCAGTTTGAAGAAAACTGGTATAACACATATTCATCAAATCTATATAAACACGTGGACACTGGAAGACGATACTACGTTGCGTTAAATAAAGATGGGACTCCAAGAGAAGGGACTAGGACTAAACGGCATCAAAAATTTACACATTTTTTACCTAGACCAGTGGACCCTGAGAAAGTACCGGAACTATATAAGGATATTTTAAGCCAAAGTTGACAAAGACAATTCCTTCACTTGAGCCCTTAAAAAGTAACCACTATAAAGGTTTCATGCGGTGGGTTCTTATTGATTAGCTGTGTCATCACATCAGCTCCACTGTTGCCAAACTTTGTCGCATGCATAATGTATGATGGAGGCTTGGATGGAACATGCTGATTTTGTTCTGCACTTAAAGGTTTGTCCTCCTGGAGGAGAGCCTATGCCCACTCGCTTGATTTAGTATGAGAGGGAGCGCGAGAGAGTGAGTGCGAGAGAGAAAGGGAGAGGATGAATGGGAGTGAGAGCGCGAGAGAGAGGAGCCAAGGGGAGGAGGAGGAGGAGGAGGAAGGCCTGATGCATGCTGGGGAATAGACACGCTTTTAAATTTTTGATCAGTTGTACTTCGTCATATA